CTCCAGGAGCGTCTGTACCTGCTGTGCGTCCGACAGCCCCCTGCCCCAGCCCCCGACTCTGCGGTGTTAGTTTCCGAGTGCTGCCCAGATGAACCCGGAGGGGCCGGCCGGGGCTCCAAAGCTGCAGGAGGTCCTGTCAGCTCAGCTCAGGGCACAGCCCATCCTGCCTGAGGCTCAAGACCCGTCCCACTCTTGGCCGTGAACAAAGGCTGCTCTGGGCCACCGTGCGCTCCCGGGGCCCTCAGCGCGCCCCAGGCGTCGGCTGCGTCCGCACCCTGCTTCCCAAGCTCCTGGTCTCTGAGGAGCAGTCTGGGCATCCAGCTGACTGTACTGAGGGGCAAGGCTGTAGCCTCCAAGCCCCACGAACTGCAGGTTACCAAGTGATCAACGAATAAACGCAAGAGTCAAGTGCCCAGAAACACTGCTTCGTTCTGCCCCACGTCCCTTTCCTGTGTTTAGAAATCCAAAAAGCTCGGAAAACCGAAAGCCTTTCTGTACCTCTGGGGCCGACGCCTCTGGGCAGACGCGAGGTGCCTCCTGGTCCCTGTTGCCTTTTAGGGTAAATACTTCTGTGTCATTGCAGAGACTGGGTGAGCTTGATTGTGGGGGACTCCCATACGACCCCTCGGGGGTGTTGTAACAGAGACTCCAACTCCTATGTTATTTTTCTAAAATAAAATAAAAATTCATCTGAATTCTGAAATATCAGCGGCGCAGGGCTAGTTTGGACCACAAGGTAGGGCGGCCACACCAACTTTTTACAACCCCCAAGGCCCAGCTCCGAGGGGAAGGTATCTCCCCCTCACCTCAGGGCCAGCCTCTGAAAGGTCACATGGCAGACCTGCACCGGCTGATTCCAAAGTCGGCCGCCTAGCCGTGACTTTTGTCTCCTTCCGTGGATTTTGGGGTCAATGCAATGCCGTCGGATGGCACAGATTTCAAAAGGCCCAGAAAGGTCCAGGCCAGGCAAAGCCGTCTCTCCCACCCCGTCCATCCCAGACGCGGCGTCCCTGCCCAGACGCACAGCCGCCGTCCCTTCTACCTGGCGACAGTGGATTTGCCAGGAGGAGAGAAACAGGACAAAGCTTAACGACAGGAAAGAGCAAGTGTGCCACGTGAGGTTCTGTGGGCCACTCAGAATGACTGGTCAGGCAGTCCCGAAACTCTGAAAACACAGCCCGCCAGGACTGCTCGCGGTTCACACACACTCTGCCCACGCTGGGGCTTTCTCGGTTCAAAGCGCGTTCCGGCACGTGACTTAACCCGCACGTTCCGCAGTCAGGAGTAGACGCTTCCGGTTATTCTGCGACTTTCAAAACTCACATCGACCAGGTGACGATCAGGCAGCGTTCTCGGAACGACGTTGACCTCCGTCTTCCAATTGCCTATTCCGCTATTTTTATCAGCATTCATTATTTCCACATTAATCCAATTAGCGTCCTGTTTACCAATACCTCATTTTTAATTTGCAGCTTCGTTCTAAAAGCTCGGAGAGGCTTTCACAACCTGAGTTCTCCTCCCTGGTTACTGCCAAGTAATTAGTCGAGGAGCGTCCCTGATCAAAGCGAAGAGCCAGAAGCAAGTTGGAGCTTGCCTTATGCCGAAAGGGAAAAAAAAAAACCCACGGTGAGTCTCTCCTAATTGCGGGGGCTTTGTGGGTTATCACTGAGCGGGGCAGGGGGCCGAGGGTGTCAGTCAAAGGGCCTTTAACTGCAGGGCTTTGCACATCACAGCGCGTTAAATACCTGGGGATTCCTCCTCTGATGTGCATGCTAATGCCCAGCGGCCCTTCCTGTCTTTGAGGGGAATTGTGCTAAGTTTGCATTGCGCATAGTGAGAATGGCCGGCTGAGGGGCCCAAGCGCTGGGCAGCCCGGTGACATCAGGGAGATCCTGTCCTGCCTGGGAAGGCACTGCTTCCAGCACGGCTTTCCCCCCCATAGCCCCGACGGCTCTGCGGAAGAGGGACCCCTCCCCATGGTCAGCACTCTTCAAGCCGTCCGCCCCCACATCACTTCACAGGAGGGCAGGAGCCACACTGGGCCCCGGGCTGGTCCCCACGCTGGCCTGTCCCCGACACAGCCCCAGCCAGAGCATGCAGGACGCGGGGGCAGCCTCCGTCTGGCAGGTAGGGCACCACCCAGGCGAGCCAGGAGGCCGGGAGGCTGCGAAACCCTCCTGGAGGTCTTTCTCACACAACTCGATGGAGAGACCAGCCTGGGAAGCCGCCTCTAACATCCCAGGAAATCGGGCAGGAGGGGTGAGAGGCATCTCTCCTGCCCATTCGGAAGGACCTTGTGCAGCCCAGGCGTCCTTGCCCCCAGGAGAAGCCACCTGTCCAGTTAAGGAGAGGCTTCCCCAGATGCCCGCCCCCCAGGGCCTGGAGCCTCGAAGCAGCAGGTGGGCAATTAGAGCCCCCGCCCCCTCCCCACAGTCACCCAGGGCCTCAAGGAGCAGCTTGCGGGCTGGCACTGGGTGAGGACACACCAGGAACAGGTCCTTCCCACGTGCAGCCACCCTGAGCAGCTCCACAAAGCAGGGCCACCGGGGCACCCGGCCCAGCCCCGCTGCCCAGGCCCCTGCGCCCTGGCTGGCAGGAGGTTGGGGGGGGCCCAAGCGCTCTGGGCCTGCCTGATGGGGGAGGGAGGGCGCTGGGCCAGCTTCCCTGGGCTCCCTGTGTCTGCCCTCGGAGGTTCTCAGGTGCGTTCCTGCGGGCCACTCAGAGGGAGTCTGCAGGGGTCCCGGCTTGGGTTCCCACCATAAGAGTGCAGGCGGGTGCCCCCTCCCTCCATGGATGAAGGCCTGGGGACTTGTCAAGGCCGTGGAGGAGCCAGGCCTGCTCTGGACGACTGTCCGGACTGCCAGCCCAGGGCCCTGCCCGCTGTGCCCTCTGCCCACCGTGTGCCAGGCATGGCGGCCAGATCAACACCTGCAATCTGATTTAGTCGCTCGGTTTGAGGTTTCTCGCTTCAGTGCCCAACTGTCAGTAGGGGTGAACACCCAGGAGCAGGTGCATGAGAGGGGGCGCATATGATGTTCTACTGCCAAAGTTTTAACTCATCCTTAGACCCAAAACACGGATGGGAGAACAGAAGAGGGGGCAGGCCTGAAGCCTGGTTCTCGCTCCCAGGTCCTTCCCGGGGCTCACTCTTTGGGGGACCTGATTCCAACTCCAAGGTCCACAGAATGTCCCAGCCATGGACCCTATAGTGCTGCCTGAAATGTCCACCCCACACTCTGAGACCTGCCTTCGGTGCCCCCATCTCCCCTCTCTGAACCCAGCAGAGCCCACCCTGCTGCCTGGCCCCTCTCCCGGGTCTACTCCCTCTGAGGCACCTCCCTGACCCCTCCCACCCACCCACCTCCCAGCTAGTCTCTACAGCACCGATGGCCATGCCGATGGCTGATGGCCGCAGCCACTCCATGTGTGTCCTCTCTCTCCCAACTCTGGGGGCCGTGCTGGCCCAAGCCGTCCTTGACGAGAGAGGATGCGGGGGTGTGAAGGGGTGGCCTGTTTCCCAGGACGCAGAGGCTGTGGACATGGGGGCAGGGGGACGGGCTGGGGAGAGCCAGTAAGCTGGGCGAGGGACCCCCTCCACCGCTGGCCGTGCTTGGAATGGAGCGGGTGGTCTCCTGCTCCTACTTCGCCAAGGAGGGACGTGGCTTAGAACAAATTTCTTCACCTTTTGTGCCATGGCCCCTGGCGGCCCGAAGGCTGAGGACCGATTCTCAGAA